AAAGGTGAATCCGTCAGAGGAAGCAGCACCTTCCATTGGTGTGAAGAGAGGAAGAGGAGAAGTGGAAGAGAAGGGGTGGGAGAATTTGTGTAGAGGTGGGGGCACGATGGCAGGGTGGGGGGTGTAGCTCAGTGGTAGAGCGCTCGCTTTGCATGCGAGAGGCCCCGGGTTCGATCCCCGGCATCTCCAACTCACGTGTGTGGTCATCTGGGCTTCTCTCATCCCACCCCTGCAGCAGCGCTCCATGCAGTGGGCAGAAGGCTAGTCGAGGTGGCTTTTCACCCACCTCCACTGATGTCTTAACATAACCTGCTCCACCCTTTATACACACGTCGTCACTTCTCTGTGTATTTGCCTGCTCGCGTTAACACTGCAGACGGACAATACATACTGCACTATCGTGCGCTCTTCTCCCTCTGTGGTAGGACATGCTTACAGCATAAGGCGGGTAGATGAAAGGCGGGCGGGTGATTGGGTAGGTGGAGATGTAAGTGAGTAAGGGAGCAGATGGGTAGTAGGGTCGGTAGGTAGGTGGGTGGGTGGGTGGAGGGACAGAGAGAGAGAGGGTAGCGTGGGACTATTAGAGTGAGTGTTTTCGATAGGCACAGACGATGTCGGATCGATGGTGCAGTGGTTATCACGTCTGCTTTACACACCGAAGGTTCCCGGTTGGAACCTGGGTCGAGTCACTTTCGCTCTTCTTCACTCCCACTGGCCACAATAGTCTGCTCTACCACTCAGTGAGTCAAGTGTATCAGTGACGTAAAATGGGAGTTGGTGGCGAGTCATTTATTGTAGTGGGACGGGTGCCAAATGGTTGACGACACTTGCCCTCGGAGAGAATCAAAATCTCGACCCCTGGTTTACGGGACCAGTGCTCTAACACCTGAGCTACGAAGGCGTCGAGCTTCTTCTTACCTTCACAATTGGCCTTATTGCCTCCCCTTCGACGAGCCACTCTACCATTCCACACTAACACCACCTGCGTCTGCACTTGCTTTGGTTTGTGGTAATACGTTTCCTACTTTGCATTTTCCATAAACACCGCTAGTTCGTGTGTGCTCATTCACGTTAAGTCAAGCCGTGTGTGTAGGTGTGAAAGGGAGAGAATAGCCTATTTCTGACTAAGAGAGGAAAGGAGTGAGTGTGGAAGAGATTTTGATGTGCAGTGAGACAGGATGAATGACAAATACAGATGCATAAACCTACTGTATGGCACTCACCACTTCTCGCACAACAGGCATGGCACCCACAGACGCTGACTGCATTAGCAGCATGCATTAAAGTAGGTACTTAGTACGTAGGTCAGCATGCTGTGTCACACTGCATGACCCGGTGAGGTAGGATGCACACGCGACTAATAAAAGAAGTAGCATTTTGTCCCTTGTCTCCAACTTGCAGCACTTCACTGCACTTCGCGTTGGGGAGAGCCTCACTAATCACATCGAGTCGAGATGCGTGTGTGTGTGTGTGGATATGTCTGTGGTGAAGGTGACTCCCTGATGGTCTTGCGGTTAGGATTCCTGGCTCTTACCCAGGCGGCCCGGGTTTGACTCCCGCTCAGGGAGGGAGGCAGGCGGGAGGCAGAAGTGGTGGCGTTGGAGCTTCTGCTCCCCGCTACTACTAATGGCCTTTTATTCAACTGCTCCAACACCTACTAAGGCGTCCAGCCCAGCCTAGTCTAGCACTGTAATGCGTCGCACGCGCAGGCAGTATGACGCCTAGCCTAGCCTATCCAAGCTTAGCAAAGCCAAGTACATCCAGATGGCTGCCATCGTGGCTACACGATGCCTCTGGCGCATGGTAGAGGAGGCGGCGGCGGCGGTGGAAAAGGCCACCGCTAGCGCGACGGAGACGCTCCCGAACAGGGACTCGAACCCTGGACCCTCAGATTAAAAGTGCGATGCTCTACCGACTGAGCTATTTAGGTGCGCCACGTTCCTACATTCACCACAACTCCACTCCACTCCTCTCCACACTCTACAACTATTTCAAACACACATGTGCACACATAAAATTACACCCGCTTCCCACCATCAGCAGGGCTATTGTGGACACGTATACCTCTTTGTGCAGTGTCATTACGTAGCTTTGCTTCTTCCCACACAATTAGAGCAGACACATTTCAAATTCCGATTGCGTGACAGATTCTTTCTGGGATGAAGTTCTTTTATTGCCTCTCATCAACAGGCATCCTAAATAGCATTAGCGTTATCACCATCACTGGCAGTAAGCTATTCCGATGAGTCTGCAGGCTCATCTCTGAGCCCAAAAATTTTGCCTTTTACTGGAACTGCTCTACCTAATTGATCTCCGTTTCACAGTAATTTGACTGACATGGAATTTGCAATTCGACTTCTAGGCAAAGGATGGGAATCGTGTGGAGGCTCACAGAGTGGTAGTAGCAGCCACGTTTCCATTTGTGGTAAAACGCGGTGAAATCGCAGTCCAGTGGAGGCGGTTTTCCAAAGAGTACTTGAGCATTTTTCCCCATTGTTAACCTCATTTAACCATTGTCTAGGCTGCCATCAACTACGCTTACACGGGCAGCATCGCAAATTCGGCAGAACATGTTACGCGATTCCACCTGCTGGCGCACAATCTCGGCTCCGCCACCACCGTTGAATGGGGTGTGGATTTCCTAAGAACGAGGTAGGCGAAGCTTCTCTGAGAGTTACAACTGACTGTCTGAAAGGCTTCTCTAGCCTACGTGGCAGAGGTGTGGTCAGTTGCCAATGTGATGCAAAATCGTCAATTGGTGGAATTGTGTCTTCCACCGATTGCAAGGCATTTTGAAAATCTATGTTCGCGAGGTGAGATGCTGATGTAGGCAACAGCGGAGTACTTTGAGGTCCTGCTGGAGAGGAAACGCTAGGGAGGCATGAGTGAGGAAAACAAATTTAAAGCGATTTCCAAATGGCTCGATGCAGGACGCAAGGGGTGCGGTGTGGAGGAAAGCCCAAAGGCATTTGGAAAGACGACTTCCAAGACTGACTTGTCCAGGCTGTCTCCACCGAATTTTTCGCTGCAGGTAAGCATGGTGAAGGAGTGAATGGCTTGAAGGATGTGAGTGCAAGGGATGCACAATTCAGTTGGATGACTATTTGATGCATGAAGGCACACAAATTGGAGGAAAAATGAATGCTGCCTATGCGATGAATGGATGCAGATCAGATTGCTGGATTGAGGAATGGATGGAGGAATAAATGTATGGGTGAATGCAAGACGAATGAGTGAACACGGAAGGGTTGGATGAATGAATGCTGATTGAATGCAGGAGGGTGGGTTAAGTAAATGGGGATCATAGATGCGACTTGAGTAGAAGGATGACGCTCTATTTTCCACTCCTTCGCGAGACACCACTTATGCCTCTTTCTAACGAGTTCCCAGGAGACACTCTACCACACCCCGGAATGAAGTCAGACAGTAACGCGATCGAGCAAATGCCTCAATCCTCCTCCAACCATTCACCACGTTGCAAGCACATAAACCAATTCTGCTAACAGCGTAACCATTCCAAATCACGTGGAGGAACCGTGATGACGTTCTTTAATTACTCCGCGGTAATTTGGCATTGTGGGCTTGGGAAACAAGATATTTGGGTCTGTCTGGAAAAGTGGTTGGTCCTATATGAAATAAGAGGAGAAATGAATGAAATGGCTAAATTGGAATCATCTCAAATGTTATTACTAAAACGCAACCAACCTATCTCATTTTACGCAAAGTCTAGATGCAACAAAACACACTTTGCTACAAATAAATTACTAACATCGAACATTTTTCTGTCCAAGTTTATTCTGTTTCTATCCTTCACTCTGTAAAATGGACAAAGCCTTCTACATCGGAACCATGAACGACCAATCCATCAGAGAGTCGATGGAGGGGTCCATGCTATTTACACCTGCATTGTGATTACATTCAGAGAGGCATAATCGAAAAATAACCTGTCATCCACCAGAAGCAACCTGCTATGAGACATGTATGTCTGCGGAATAAACAACTGGTCGCCTGCCGCATAATCAACAAACTAAACAG